TGAAGCCCTTCAACGGAATTGAAACTTCATCCCTTAAATTGAAGCCCTTCAACGGAATTGAAACTTCATCCCTTGAATTGAAGCCCTTTGGAAATCTCATCCCATAGTTCCAGACTTCATCCCTTTCTTGATTTGGCAATTGAAACTCCATCCCTTCTTGATTTGGCAATTGAAATCTCATCCCTTACTTGATTTGGAATTGAAACTTCATCCCTTGAATTGAAGCCCTTTGGAAATCTCATCCCATAGTCAACTTGGAAATCTCATCCCAATTGACTTTGCAAATTGCTAGTCAACTTGGAAATCTCATCCGACTTTGCAAATTGCTTCCCTTCGGCCAAACCATCGCCCATACTTCATCTGATGGATTTAAACTTGGCTTCTTTAAAATATGTGAGATGTGAGATTTGAACCTGTGACTTTGCATATAATATTTCAAGCTTCTTCCAACTCATCCATACAACCTTTTGGTTATCATCCTGTTTCACTTGGTGTACTCCTTTCTTTCTATAGATGCTTGATCTTCAAGATAGCTTCATGCAAACTTCAAGTCACGTTCTTTCTTCTTCGGGATTTCTTGAGGGATTTCTTCTTGATTTCTTAAGAGATTTCTTCTTGGATATTTTTGAGAGATTTCCTCTTCGGATGATAGTCTTCATAACTTGTGTACATATTTTCATATGCATACATCTTCCTCTTTTGTTTGCCATTTTCTCTAGGCAAATTCTTGATTTTAGGCTTTATATCTTCTTCATCCATTTCCTCAACTAATGAATATATTTTTCCCTTTCTTGGTCTATGACTCGACTAGTCTAACCAAAATAAAATTGGGGATCTACGATTTACAATATGGCATATCAAAATCTATTACAATTTATTCCTAACAGCTGGCTATTCCTGTTCGTAGGCGAGGTCTGTTGAGTGACATTGGCAGTAGCGAATAGAGACTGACGTGTTTCATCGGCGTCCTTTAACTGACGTTCATGGCCAGTTAGCACATATGCCAATTCGCCCAAAGAAATTGGCGTTTCACGAATACGGACAACAGATATAATGGAGTTGTACTCCTCTCCTAGCTGCGTTAATATGTAAACAGTAAGGTCTTCATCAGACACCAGACACTAAGCCAATGCTAGGTCATCAGCTATGGCTCGCATGTCACTGAGATAGGTCGTGATAGACCAAGAACCTCTCGAGTTTTTTTGTGAGCTTGGCCTTGAGGGAAATGATACGTCCTCTAGAGGCACTAGCATAACTGGCAACAAGATGTTTCCATGCATCATTGGTTGTCGTAGCCGAAGATATGAGAGGTTGTATGGTGTCAGTACAGCTTCCCAGAAGTGCACAAACAATAATTTGGTCTTGAATGTACCAAATTAAATGGCTCGGGTTGGTAACGGTTTGAGCAGGATCGGTGAATTTTGTTGGTTCCTTGGTAGAACCGTCAATGTAGCCCAGGAGGTTAAAGCCAACAAGATTAACGTGAATTTGGCGTCTCCAAATTGGGAAATTCATGGTAGTGAGTTTAATAGGAAAGTTTGAAGAGACATTTAATTGAATGACATCGTTGGTAGATGCAGGAGCAGCAATAGCAGCGGAAGCCATGAGTTGGGAAGAAAAAAAAAAAAAAAATCTTTCGTATGAGATTTTAGGCTCTTGATACCATGTAGAAATAACAGAACTTGATATTCATTGAAGTAAATACAACAAACTATAAATAGAGTACAAGGAGAGAATAAAATAGAAGAAGTTATAACAAAGCTAAACTACAGGAGTACAATTAGAACAACTAATTATAGTATTAGAAGATGTCAACCAAGGTTCAGTGGGCAGTATTTGGGAGAAGATACCAAGGTTTGAACCTCGGCAGCGGCAGTGTGGGGATTATGTCCAAAGTGGACAGATCCCTTGTGCGCACCGGCATTTGGCCCTGTTTGCTGAACCATTGAGTCACCGTGATTTACATGGCAATTTATATCCTGCATCATGGCGCGCGTTGCATTGTGCGCCCAAATGCAAAACGACGTCGTTTCAATTTTTTTTTTTTTTTTTAATTTCGCTACCCAGTGTTTGGTAGTTAATTTTCCTTTAAAAAAAATCTCATGTTCAAAAATGTACATAATGTTATACTAGAATACACATAATTGTATACATGAATGTACATAATTTATAACAAAATACACATACTCTTTTTTAAAAGATAATACACATAATCTAACATAATATATAATAAACATAAACTTTTAACATAATACGCATCAACTCTTAACATAATACACAAAAATTTCCTGATTCGGATGTACATAATTGTATAAAAAAAATGTACATAATTGTATAAAAAAATGTACATAATTGTATAAAAAATGTACATAATAAAAAATATACATAATTGTATAAACAAATATACATAATCATGACAACTTCCTACCGCACCTCCCAAAACGACGTCGTACCCGTTTTGGGAGGCGCGGGGCGCACAGTGCACTGTGCGCCGTGGTGCAGGGTATAACGATTGGATTTACATCCTCCCAAATGCTCTGTCAGGCCTGGGCGTGAGAAGCCCTTGGGGTTGGGGATTCAACCTTTTGGGAGAAGAAGATGTCAACCACATGTATCCTTAGCAAACACGATATCAACATGGTTTCGATGCAACATTTATTACGATCAATTAGAGTTGTGAAAAATGTGTTTGCTTAGAAAATAAAGATCACGATAAAATTAAAATGATAAATTCTTATTATGGACATTCGTATTATATATATATATATATATATATATATATATATATATATATGGATGACTTTTGGTGCGGAGATGCTCCCATGTGAAAATGGGGTTAAGTTTGAACAATTGATGCACTTTAAACACACAAATCACGCACCTTAAGAAGGAAAACCACGCACCTAAAGCTTTAGACTGAGGCACTTAAGTTTTTAACAACTGACGCACCTTAAGTACACAACACAAAAACCACGCACCTTAAGCACAAAACCACACACCTTAAGAAGGAAAACCACGCACCTTAAGAAGAAAAACCACGTACCTTAAATTTGACCTAGATGCAAAAAGACCAAATTGCCACCGTATTTTTTTTAATCATTGTTAATCCTGGATATTGATTTAAGCAAGATCAATGGCTCTCATCTCACTACACCTCCGCAGCTGGGCACACCATCCGCATTTGAACCTAATACTATATATATATATATATATATATATATATATATATATATATATATATATATATATATATATATATATATATATATATATGGAAGGGATCAGGTGCAGAAGGGGGCTTCTCGTGCAGTTGGACTCACATTAAACATTAAACTGACGCACTTTAAGTACACAACACATGCACCTTAAGCACACAAACAAAATAACTTCAGAACACAAATACACGCACCTTAAGCACAAAACTCGCGCATCTTAAGCACAACCATCACGCACTTTAAGCACAAAACTCACGCACCTTAAGCACAAAATTACACGCATCTTAAGTTTCAAAAACTACTCACATTAAGCACAAACTCACGCACCTTAAGCACAAGACTCACGCACCTTAAGCACAAAACTCACACACCTCAAAACTCACGCACTTTAAACACAAAACTCATGCACCTTAAGTTTTAATAACTACTCACATTAAGTACACACCCACGCACCTTAAGTACAAAATTCACGCACCTTAAGCACAAGCCTCACGCACCTTAAGTACAAAACTCACGCACATTACTCACCGCACAACCGTACGGGAAACATGCACCCGCACTAGAACTTAATTGTGTATATATAATTTGTTATATAAATAAAGATTATTTCATATTTTAAATTTTATCTTTCATATATAATGAATAAAATTTAAATTTTTTAAAATATAGGAAAAATTATCTCCAAATATTCGGTTTTTTTTCAATGGCCCTCATGAGTTGCAACTTAATATAGCTATTGCATAGCCATCAGTATCACCTGGCTGAGACCTGACTCATTGGTCATTCAAATTTTCACCTACCAAACAAAGCTCTAGATATTTCAACTGAGCATAAATTTCTTATATTTAATGTAGTCAAAAGGCATCCTATTTAGGTCCTTTTAGTAGTTGAGTTAGGTTTAATGGCACACTAATATTGCTTTAGCTTAGTTAAATTACAAACTCAGTGACTATCATGGAAATAGACTGAAACGACGCATAAAAGTCAGTGAAGCACTTAGAATTCTTTTGGGTTGTTTTTTCTTCATAGCCCCACCATAGATTCCTACTAAATTCCTAGCAGTTCATGAACAACATTAATCATGTTCATGCTTATCCCCTTATACACACATAGACCAGAAAAATTACAATACGACCTGCTAATCTATGACACGAAACATAAGTCATTAACGTGTTAAATTTTATCGTGTCTCGGATCGTTAAACAAGTTGATCCATTAAAAGTTATGTTTTAACGAGACAATATGCTTAACCCGTTAAGAATTCGTATAATTTTTGTTGGATGGCAGACATGAAGGGTCAAGTTCAAGCACCAACATCCACTACTGGAAATTATGGAATTTTCGACCACCAGAAAGTGATTTTAAATCAAGTTGATACCAAAAAGTGGTCGGAAATAGCAACAAAATTTTTTCCGGATACCAAAACTGGTCGGAACAAGGCTTTCGAATTAATTTAAGATCAATTTCAGGTGGTCGGAAATTTCATAATTTCCAGTAGTGATCCTATCATCTAAATCGAAATGTGGTCATCTAGCATCCTGCGAACGTATGTGGTGTAAACTGCTACTAATTATACCTTCTGGTGTAGTAATAAGCGCTTGATATGAGGGTTGAGTCTAGTATCTCGATCAATTTAAAAATTATATTCATGTTTAATTAAAAATCTAACCAGTTAACCTTAATTAATTGATTGTACCCATGTTTAGTTTTATAGTAATCATGTTAAGTTGTTATTGTGTCAACCCATTTACACAAATTGCTTGGTCTATATATACCTCCCCCAATAATCATCAAGTTCTCTAATCTTCATGCTTAATTAGAACAACAACCATGTCTCCTCCTCTTCTAATATCCATCTCCTTCTTGTTGCTTATTCATCTGACATCCACGCAGGCTTCATCATCTGTTCAGATGGCGAAGCCCGGCTGTCAGAAAAAATGCGGAAACCTAACCATACCTTATCCGTTCGGGATCGGAAAAGGCTGCTACCTCGACGACGAGTTCGAGGTCACATGCAACAAGTCCACTCATCTCGCATCTTTGTCGTTGGTCGGAGGATTAATATTAAACATATACGACATCTCCACAGAATACGTCTCCATCGAAGCCGTTAACTTGCCGTTTCTGTTCAACCGATCCACCGGAGAAAACCTCGACGGATCTCTCCTCGGCAGCGACCTCCTACCCAGTAAACACTACAACTTTTCCTCCGCGAAGAACAAGCTGGTCGCCATGGGCTGCGATGTTTTCGCGTACATTAAAGACCGGAGCAGCGGCGAAGTCATAAGCGAGTGCGCGTCGTTCTGCAGAGACCACGACAACTCGAGTCCTCTTGGTAAATGGGTGTTACCTTATAACTATTAATTCCTAATTGAGTTAATTAACTTATATAACATTAACTGATTGTAAAAAACTGTTTGATAAACTAGTCTTTAGCTAATAACTGTTTAGTATAATTTCTTTTCTCAAAAAGTAAATTGAAAAAGTTGTTTTGAGCAGCTTTTTGAATTTTAGCATTTTTGAGTTACAAAAAGTTGATTAACCAAACACTTATATTGATTTTTTTAAAGAAATCAAACCGCTAGTAATGGTCAAATAAGCCATAATTGACTGAGAAGCTAGTCATTTTACCGAATAGGGCCTACATCTTGCTCTAGCGGTCGTGGCGGCTGCTGCCAGTCGCTTAACATTTCGGGGCCGATGACGAATTTCAGCGCGATGATGCACACGATGAACACCTTGGATAGGTCTTGGGTGGGGAGAGGGTGCAACTTTCTTCTCATTGTGGACAGGGATTTCTCCGACTATGGGAGAATCAACGTCTCCGACTGTGACCGGAGTTACAAGCTGCCGATGGTGCTGGATTGGACGGTATCGGATCGGAGCTGCGGCGAAGCAGGAACGACGACGATCTGCGGTTTCAACAGTGATTGTGTGAACCGTAGTGGAAGACGAGGGTATTCTTGTCATTGCAAGGCGGGGTACGAGGGCAACCCATATCTTCAAAGTGGATGTCAAGGTACATATTTAGTATCAACCTTAAATACTTATTTGTTTCTTCTTCTCCCAAAAGGTTGAATTCCCATCAAAATATAACATTAACAGTACGTTTGGTTCAGGGAATGAATTTTGAGATAATAGGAATGCTATATAGGCAAGGAATGGAATAGGCAAGGAATAGAATAGGAATTGTATTCTATTGTTTGGTTCGTGAAAGGAATAGACTTTAGGAATTATATTACAGTGTTTGGTTGATTTAAGGAATAGAAATGAAATATATTTTAAAAGACATAAATACCCTTATAAAAATATGTGAGGGTGGCGGTGGCGTTGGCGATGGTGGTGGTGGTTCTGGGTGGTGGTGGTGGCGGCCGTGGCTGTGGTGGTGATGGTGGTGGTGGTGGCAACGGTGGCAATGGCGGCAACGGTGGCAATGGTGTTGGTTGTGGTGGTGGTGGTGAAATAGAACATAAATTTAATTAGGGGGTAAAATAGGAAATAGAAACTTTAGGCTATTCCTGAGAACCCCCTAGGAATCTCTATTCCCCTTATAAGGGGAATAGGTCATTCTCGGGAACAATATTCCTGAGAAGGTAAGTGGTTACCAAACAGAGGAATATGCTTATTACTGGAAATGATATGACATTATTCCAGGCCTATTCCGTGAACGAAACAACCTATAACAGTTACTTTTCATAAGAAAATTCATTGGTTCGAGTCTCATCTCAATTAAGGGTTGACATATTTTGTTGGACCAGGTATTATAGATAAGTTAGAGGTTAGAGTGTACTAAAAAAAAAAAAAAAAAAAAAAAAAAAAACAGATGTCTAGTCTTAGTTATTAGTTATAACTATTAAAGTAGTGGACCAGTGGTAAACGTTTGATCTTGATAGAATTATATAACTAAGTTAGAATTAATCATATAACAAAATAATTATGGGACAAAGATATTTTGATCAACCCTATATATAAGGTCAACATTTTCTTGGTTGAGCTCGTTACACAGTCTTTCTAATGTGGTTTATTTATCATATATGACATGGTTTGATTGAAAGTCTTTCTAATGTAGAGTTTATTTATTATCTTATATGACATGGTTTGATTGGAGACTATTACAGTATTACATATATAATACAGACATTTATCTAATGAACATCATCCTTATGTAGTGACCGTAGATTTTGCTCCTCTAGTTACATGTTTCCTCACCTTCTTTTATCAAAAGTTTAAATTATACTGTTAAAACTTTACAAAATCATTCTAATTTTTTATCCTCCCACATAGAACACTAGATAATTAAACTATAAGATTATTATGAAATATTTGCAAAAATTAGTGTAGCGTATGAGGATTTTGTCGTTGGAAGCCATATTAAAATTGTAACAATCTTATAAAGTTAGGGATATAATTTGTAACTTTTAATAACGGGAGACTAAAATAACCTAGTGACATATAATTGGGGGATCAAATTCATTTTACTCTCCACTATCTTTATTTCCCTTTATGGGAAACTAAATTAAATCATAAGTTAGGCATGAGGAGAGAAATTTTACACAACAATGGAAGGTATAGGAGGTGTTTGGTAAATAGTTGTTAGCTGATTGGGTTAGTGTATTTGATTAGTTGATAGCATTAGCTGATTGTAGGAAAGTGTTTGAAAAATTAGTTGTTAGATTATAATTGATTATATGTAAAATGATTTTCTTAAAAAGTTGATCGAAAAAATTACTTTGAGCAACTTTTTGAATTTTAGCATTTTGGACTTTAAGACCATAAGAACTATATAGTTACGTTCAACTGAGAACCATGCAATGCTTAATTTAAGACCATAAGAACTATATAAATGCACAAAATCTACTCCTTGAATGCACATAAACTACTCCCAGCGTCTCTACCGTCATCCAAGCATGTTTGGGAGTAATTAGTTTGCATTAGTGCAATAATTCATTCATACAATAAATGCTCTGTTTGACAGAGCTTATTTAGGAGCTTATAACTTATTTTAAGTTACTAATAAGCTATAAGCTCTGTTTGGTAATGTTCCCAAAATAAACCCGTAGCTTAAAATAAGAGTTTATTTTGGAACGCTACCTTAGGTAGCGTTTCAAAATAAGCTAGTAGTTTCCTAACTGTTTTTTCCATCTTTGTCCTTATTATTTTAAAGAAATGGCATCATTTACCTTTCTCAAATCTTTTTCTTTCTCCTTTATCCACAACTTTCACAAGAACAATTATTATTATTATTATTATTATTATTATTATTATTATTATTATTATTATTATAAGATGAAGGAGATTCGTAACAATATTGCTACTTCATTATGGAATGCTAGAATTATGTTAATAATTTTATTTCAAAATGTTAATTTTTTTTTTTTTTTGAAGACAATGTTAAATTTTAATATGTAAACAAACTCATTTAAATTTTGTGAAGATGTCCTTTTTTTGTCTTTTTACATTTATCCACTTATCAAAAAGTTAATTTTACCAAACACTTTCAAGCATAACAACTAGCTTAACAGCTTTTCAATTTTCAGGTCCTAGCTTATAGTTTTTCAGCTTTAAGCTTCTTTTAACCTTTTCAATTAGGTTTGTCAAACATATTCAAAATATGTGTACGCGTATAATTATTCGTACGATCTAACGAAAAGCATGTTTTCACCGGACTAAACGCAAGCCTGAAAGCAAATTCAACTTTGTTAACATTAAAAATGGTAAAGAACTCATTACACATGATGGCACTTATCTCCACTCTCATATGCTGCTTTCCCACTTGGACAGCGACGTAAGTGGAAGGCATCACCTAAGCAAATCTTAGTTTCTAACATAGAAAAAATATATATAAAATAATCTCTTCTCTTGAAGACAAAATGCTTTGGTCCCATATATAATACGACAAATGAGAATTAACGTTAGTGGAAGACAGCCTACCTATCATTTCACTTAGGTTCCCTACTAGACCAATAATACTAGCTTGGACATCCCCTCATGTTTTTTTTTTTTTTTTTTTTTTTTTTTTTTTTTTTTTTTTTTTTTTTTTTTTTAGAAAACAAACATATATTAAATCAAGTCGGAAGAAAAAATATTGCAAAAGATAGATGAGTTAATGAATCACTCCTTACAAAGAAACGAACAATAATCTAGCTATTTCGTGAGCTGTTTGATTCGCTGTTTGTTTGATGAAAGTTAAAAACACATTAGTGAAATCACATAACAAGTTTTTTATGTCTCATGTTTTAAAAATTAGTGACATCCCCTCATGTTTTAAAAATTACAATTCAACCTCTAAAAAGGTGTTAATATTAGTATATAGATAGAGTTAATTCTACCAGAGGTCCCTTGTCTGTAGTGACAATTTTAAATTTAGTCTCAGACTATTATTTTTGTCATTTAACATCTCAAACTATTATTTTTTGGGCACTTTTAGTCCTTCTCAAGACTTTTCCTATTTTTAGTAATGGCGTTTTTGTCTCTTCATATTTTTCTTTCGTTATTTTTTAAATTTCAACCGGTTTAATTGGTTTAAGACTTTACTAAAAACCAATTGAAAAATATTGTTACTAAAAAGCAGAGGTTACTTAAAGTCCTAAATCGGTTGAAACCGAAAAAATAACAAAAGAAAAATATGAAAAGACAAAAATGCCCTTTCTAAAAATTTTTTAAAAAAATCATGAGAAAGACTAAAAGTGTCCAAAAAATAATAGTTTGTGATGTTAAATGAAAAAACGATAGTTTGGGACTAAATTTAAAATTACCACCAAAGACAAATGACCTCTGGTGAAATTAACTCTATATCTACTATACTATCTACTATACTATCTACTATACTAATAAGAGTACAAAAGAGTTAGGACTATAATGGGTAGAAAAAATAGCAGTCAAATTTTTTAATCAAATGAATGGCTCAGATTGATCAGATTTTAATTTTTTCTTAAAATTTCCTAATTTATCTTTAATGAATATGATTATACTTTAACTTTTCCGTTAAATATTATATTTTCCGTTAATTTTTGTTAGTTCACCGTTAACCTACTAATTGATTTCAATAATAAAGGTCTTAGGTTCGAACCTCATTCCAATCAAAGTTGGCATAATTAGTACTCTATTTTACTCTTATTAAATTAAATAATAATTTAGTAACTACAACACAAAATAATACATATGTATTTCTTTAATTTAAACTTATGTGTCTACAATGTCTTTATTAAAAAAAAATTATTCATTATCAATAAATTAAATAGTTTCATTAGTTATATTGTATTTATTTTTCTCCAATATAAAAGTTCTTTACATTCAAATTCATCAATTGATTATATTCGCTGCATTGTCCCTACAATATCTTTATTAAAAAAAATTATTTATTATCAATAAATTAATTAAGAGAAATAATTTTAGTAGTTATATTGTCTTTATATTTCTCCAATGTAAAAATTCTTTACATTCAAATTCATTATATTCACTACATTGTCTATTATCATTTTTTGTGCACTATTTTTTAATTAAATATCAAAGTTATAATACAAAATAATGCTATATATTTATTTACCAAGTATTTTATTAATACCATGAAAAAATTAAAAAAAAATATAATTAATAAAGTCAATCATATTAACTACTTGAGGGATTTGTTGACAGAGAGAGTATTCAATTCACACAACAAATTGAAATGAGAACTACCTCGCAATGTCCTTGTTTGACAATTAGCAGTTAGCGATTAGCGTTAGCAGATTATATTAGCGAATTTGACTAGCGAATTATATCAACGGTTAGTAAAAATATATTCGAAAAAATTAGTTGTTTAGATTAACATGTAAAATGACCTAAGGGTATATATATATATATATATAGGGAAGGGTTCAGGTGCGGGTATAGCTTCCCGTGCGGTTGTGCGGTTAAATCTGAGCAGTTGATCAAATTTAGATCAACGGTTCAAATCAATGAAAATTAAATTAAAAAAAAAACGCGTGCCTGGAACAAAGAAGTATAAGCTAAGGTGCACCTTAAGTGTTAGATCTTAATCACAAATTCACTCACTTTAAGTACAAAACCCACACACATTAAGCACAACCTCACGCACATTAAGCACAAAACCCACGCACTTTAAATATTAACTCACAGACTTTAAGTTTCAACAACACATTAAGTACAAAACTCACGCACATTAAGTACAAAACCCACGCACATTAAGCACAAACATCACACACATTAACCACAAAACTCACGCACTTTAAGTATTCACTCACAGACTTTAACAGCACGTTTGGTTCACGGAATGAATTTGGAGGGAATAGGAATGCTATTCCACAAGGAATGTAATAGGTAAAGAATAAAATAGGAATAGTATTCTGTTGTTTGGTTAGCTGGAGGAATAGACTTTAGTAATTGTATTCCAGTGTTTGGTTGGTTAAAGGAATAGAAATGGAATAGGTTTTAAAGACATAAATACCCTTATAAAAAAATTAATAATAATAATAATAATAATAATAACAATAATAATAATAATGAATATGATTATGATATACTGAATGTTATATATATATATATATATATATATATATATATATATATATATATATATATATATATATATATATATTTATATTTATATTTATATTTATATACATGTATATGCATGTGTGTGTGAGAGAGAGAGAATAACAATAACAATAATAATAATGATAATAATAATAATAATAATAATAATAATTATTATTATTATTATTATTATTATTATTATTATTATTATACAAATACATATTTATATTTATATTTATATTTATATTCTCACTTATCCCACATCGGTTTGACAAGTAAGGAATGGAGCCTTGAGGCTCCTATAAAAGGAGTCTCAAGGCTCCATAATTTCAATTGCAATGCTCATCCGCTAGGCAAGCTTGCAATGCCTATCCGCTAGGCATGCAGATGGGCAGACTACTTAATTTATGAGCCAAGGCTCCATAATTAAGGACTCTTATACAGTTAATTATATATATATATATATATATACACACACACACACACACACAAATAATTTATTTAAATATATATATTTATTGATAGATAAAAATTATAATTAATTAAATATATACATTTATATAATACATTATATTTATTAAATAAATATAAATATTATATAATGTGCAAAGGGTATTTTTGGTATTTGTGATATAAAAGCTATTCCCAAGGGCATGGGAATAGCTAATACCAAGGCCCCCCTAGGAATGGCTATTACCCTTGCGAAGGTAATAGCTCATTCCTAGGCATGCTATTCCCATGACAAAATGATCCAACCAAACAATGGAATAGGTCTATTCCAAGGAATGTTATTCCATTCCCGACCTATTCCATGAACCAAACATGCCATAAGTTTTAACAACTATTCACGTTAAGCACATCCTCATGCACATTAAGCACATCCTCATGCACATTAAGCACAAACCTCACGCACATTAAGCACAAAACACACGCACATTAAGCACAAAACTCACGCACATTAAGCACAAAACTCACGCACATTAATCACAGATCCGCTCACCTTAATTTTGACGTAGATGCAAAAATTACAAAATTACCACCGCATTTTTTTTAAAAACTTTGATAATCCTGGACGTTGATTAAAGCGAGATGAATGGCTCAAATTAAACCGCACAACCGCACCTGAAGCCATCACCCACACGAGAACCTAAATATATATATATATATATATATATATATATATATATATATATATATATATATATATATATATATATATATATATATATATATATATATATAATTGTTTTAAAAAAATAAAAAAATATAATTAATCCAATCATATTAACTACTTGGGGGATTTATTGACAAAAAGAGTATTCAAATCACACAATAAATTAAAGTGAGAAACTATCTCGCAATGTCCTTGTTTGGCAATCAGCAGTTAGCTCTTCAATATTAGTATATATTTAATATTTTATGCCCTAATTTTTATTTGCTATCCATCATGTCCCGTATTTGGTTTCAACCATACCTATACAATTATTTTATTGACAATTATAATAATCAATCTTGACTATATTATATTGCATTTGTAAGCTTAGAATTGCGTATTTAAATACGTAAATTTAACATTCAATTATATATGTATGAACAATTTCAATATAAGTTTGCCTTGATATATTTTTAAAGTACTTATTAAAAAAAAAAACATTGACATTATCCCAATAGTTATATACACAATTTGTAGATCTCAATTCTTACTCGAACTGTGTTTACTTCACTTTTTCATTTTTAAAATACTTTTCAAACATTTTGGTTTTTAAATTAAAAAATGTATACAAATAAATCATATTTTTTGTTTTCTTTTCTCCAATTTTTCATTTTCTCTGATCTAAAAAAATGGATAATTTTTGTAGTTATATTCTTATAACCCATTTGGTTCATTGAAATTGAATTTCTTTGGCATTTCAATTTCTTCAAAGTGTGAATTCCCATGCAATGTTTTAATTTGGTGGTAGGGATTTTTTTTTTTTTTTTAGAGTTTTAATTCTTAAAATTTAGTAATTCAAATTACATGAGATTTTTTTGATATTTTAAATTTTTCGTTACTTGAGAAAGAAAAATAAGCATAATGAGATAATATTACCTTTATATATGTAATATGTTAGGGGTGTTTGGTAAATAGCTGTTAACTGATTGGGTTAGTGGGTTTGACTAGTTGATAGCATTAATTGGTTGTAGAAAAGTGTTTGACAAATTAACTGTTAGCGATAGCTGATTATATGCAAAATGACTTTCTAAAAAAACTTATCGAAAAAACTACTTTGAGCAGTTTTTTGAATTTTAACATTTTAGAAAAATAAAAAATGTTACAAAAAGTTTATTAATCAAACACACATTGATTATTTAACAAAGTCAAACAATTAATAGTAGTTAAATTAAATAAGTCAAAATTAATTGATAAGCTAATTATGTTACCGAGGCTGATTATAAAAGTCTATTTCCATTTGTCATAATTTTTCCTGCAAACCAAATATACCATTAAGATTTTGATGTTTGAGGGTTGAACTTCATAATGAACAATTTCGATAAGTAATTAGTCCTAGCTAGTCCTGCATATCTTTTACTCCGTATTCCGTAATAAACTATAAGTCGTTAAAATTATTCATATAATAAACTAATATCCTCAAACCAACCATGGCTTCACTATTAAGTTTATTCGTTAATAATGATCAATTAATAGGTATTATAAAGTTTGTTTGCTTGGTATCAAAATTATTTATGTTCTTACCATCTTGGTCAAATTCAAAATACAGAGTCTTTCTGGTGTGATTTATCTTTTTTTTTTGTGTGTGTGTGTGTAATTTGTGGATTATTACAAAGGAATGAAGTTTATTCGTGCGCATTCGATCACAACCACTAACTTGTGGATTTCTGTCACAATATATATATATATATATATATATATATATATATATATATATATATATATATATATATATATATGTTCAAACTTAACAATCAATTAAGTTCCTCTACTATAAAATTTATGAGTTCATGCCCCCTTGAACTTAGCGTTGTGGTTCGTCTCCCGACTTAATGTTAGGACTGAAGATGACAGTAGAAGGAAAAAAAAAAAGGCCATGAATGATGGACAGTGTGGCCGATTAGATCCCTTGTGCATGCGAGCAAGACTAAGGTGTGACTGATTAACTAATTCATTAAGTGACACATTAGGAGGGAAAGAAACATTTTTCAAAAATAAATTGTGAGTTCATACTTGTTTTGCAATTGCTGTTTTAAGTAAAAAGAAATAATTGTATATTTTTGTTTTCCCAATGTGAAGATATCAATGAGTGTGAAGGGAGAGATGGCGCAAAGCACAATTGCTCCAAGAATGCTTACTGCGTTAACACTCCGGGCAGCTATTCTTGCAACTGCCTTTCAGGCTATCACGACACCACCGACGGATGCATACTTGACCAACATAGACGCACCTGGATTTTGTACCTATGTTTAGGTACGTAATTCACTTCTATATATTCTTCTTTAATAACTCTGCTTATTCATCTTTATAATATATGTTGCACGTTTAATTAATTCATTATATTCAATCCTTTAGTCTTGAATTGGTTTGTTAAAATGCAATATTATGATTCAATTTGTTAATGATTACAGCTTTAGTCCCTTTTTTGGTTGTTGCCTCCCTCCTATTCTAGCTTTAATAGTCGTAGTGTGGGAGTTACACTCGATCCGATGAGTTCTTTTGATGAGTGAATGATTATCGTGAATTTAAAATGCAACCAGTTACAGAGATACAAAAGAGATTAGAGTCCTATCTAACTAACCTTATACAGTAGCTATTAGTTACCGGACTTATTCAACTATAATAATACAAGCTGTGTTACATATTAAATGAATAGGAAATATAACATTACTAACACTCCCCCTCAAGCTGAAGGTGGTGTAGACACAACACTAAGCTTGTCCCGCAGCAAGGTGAAGCGAGCCGATGGCAGAGGTTTGGTGAAGACGTCAGCTAACTGGTCTTTGGTGGGGACGAAATTAACCAAAAACTCCCCTGACGCTACCTTATCTCGAACAAAGTGGTAGTCTATCTCGACGTGTTTCGTCCTAGCATGAAAAACCGGATTTGCGCACATGTAAGTAGCGCCCAAATTATCACACCACAGAGTCGCAGGATTCCCAGTGTGTAGACCAAGCTCCCGGAGTAGAGATACAACCCAAGTGACCTCCGCAACTATATCGGCTAGGCCCTTATACTCAGCCTCGGTGGAGGACCTAGCCACGGTTTGCTGTTTACGAGAAACCCAAGAGACCAGATTCGTCCCAAGGAACACAGCATAACCACTGGTGGACTTACGATCTACAGGACACCCAGCCCAGTCTGAGTCAGAGTAGGCATGAATGTTGGAGGACGGTGACGAAGATAGCTTAAGACCATACGCCAGTGTGCTCTTCACATACCGAATGACCCGCTTAAGCAAATCCCAGTGCTCATCAGTCGGAGTGTGCATAAACTGACAGAGCCTATTGACAGCGTAGGACAGATCAGGGCGAGTGATAGTGCGATACTGTAGGGCCCCAGCTAACCGACGATACTGAGTAGGGTTCTCATAAGGGTTCGTAACCGGAGATATGGCCTGTGTGACCGCAACTGGAGTGGACAGAGGTTTACAGTCAGTCATGCCCGCGCGAGTCAAAATATCAGCCATGTAACGACGTTGTGAGAGCAAGACGCCGTCTTTAAGCGGGATAGTTTCAATGCCGAGGAAAAACGTGGGAGTGCCCAAGTCTCGGATCTTGAAAGTGGTAGACAACCGGTTGAGTAGTGAGAGAAGCAGGTCCGTGTCTTTGCCAAGCACGATGATGTCGGCCACATAAACGAGCAGGTAAACCCGAGAGGTATTTCATGTGTAGTAAAAAAGCGAGACATCAGTTTTGGATGCCACGAAACCTGTAGTCAAAAGAAAATCATGTAACCGTTTAAACCAGGCACGTGGGGCCTGTTTGAGACCATAAAGAGACCGTTGTAGGCGGCAGACATAATCCAGATGTGTGGGGTCTTCATACCTCGGCGGTTGACGCATATAGACCGTTTCTGCCAGATGTCCATTTAAGAAGGCATTGTGGACATCCAGCTGCCGCATAGTCCAGCCCCTCGATATAGCTAGGGCGAGCAATATGCGAACCGTGCTTGGCTTGACAACAGGACTGTAGGTTTCAAAGAAGTCTTCACCGGCAACTTGATTGAACCCCTTAGCCACCAAGCGAGCTTTGTACCGCTCTACAGCACCATCAGCCTTCCTTTTGGTGCGGTAGACCCACTTACAGCCAACAACATTCATATTGGGCTTGGACGGGGTGAGACACCAGGTGTTATTATGCAGGAGTGCATTAAACTCCTGATCCATAGCATCCCTCCACTATGGGTGTGCCACGGACTGAGTGTAGCAAGTTGGATCGGTTGAGGCGGTTAGAGCTTGAAAGGGCTCATCTGTGCCTCGTGTCATGTGCCGGAGTCGCATGACATGACCCCGATCCTGGGGTTGTGCCGTGGCTCGGGCCCGGGCTCGGGGCTTACGCCGTGGGACCACTCTGTCTGCCGGCTGCTGTTGTATCGCTAATGGTGGCACCTGGACTGCCAAAGGTGACTCATTAAGCGGTGCGGCCTGTGGTAGCGGAATTATGGGACCGGAAGTCCATGGACGTCATTCGGTGTGGTATTGGCCCCGCCTTGCTCATGTGTACCTGTGGCATAGGGAAACACACTTTCGTCAAACCGAACATGGCGACAGATAAAGGTATTCCCAGATACTAGGTCCATGCATCGGTACCCCCTATAAGACGTAAGATAGCCTAGGAAGACACAGGGCGCAAAACGATACTCTATATTATGGTGATTGTAGGGCCGTAGATAGGGGTAACATCTGCACCCAAACACGCGAAGGAAAGTGTATGGCGGAGTTTTGTTATAGATAGACTCATAGGGACTAACAAAATTGAGTGCGGACGAGGGTAGAAAATTTATGAGATAGGAAGTTGTTTCAAACGCGGCGTCCCAGTGTTTGATGGGGACTGAGCTGTCTGCGAGTAAAGCTAACTCGGTTTCGACAACATGCCTATTCCAGTGCTCTACTCGGCCGTTTTGATCATACGTATAGTCGCAGGATTGCCTATGCACAATGCCAAGAGACTGAAAAATTGAGTGTAGACGGCGATATTCGCCTCCGAGATCGGACTGTATAGACTTGATAGAATGCGAGAATTGGCGTTCTACCATGACACGGAAAGACTCAAAAGTTTTATAAATGTCCGATTTTAACCGCAAAGGGTAAAACCAGCAAAAACGTGTATGATCGTCTAGAAAAAAAACGAAATATCTAAAACCCCCGGCAGAAACAACGGGTGTCGGTCCCCAAATATCAGTATACAGCAAGTCGAGTACATTATTACTAGAGTAAAAAACCCTATCTAGTGAGAAACGAGACGACTTCCCGAGTTGACACGACGAACATAACTGCGACACACTTGATTTGGCTTGAGTGACCGGGCATTTTTGTAAGACACGGATTTGGGCACCTTCATGCGGATGTCCAATGGCCTACGATGCCAAACATCAGGTGACGCACGAGCGGTTATTAATGCAACATGTGACCGAGACATGGGTAGCTTGTACAATCCCCCCGTGGTAGGACCCCTAAGGAGCACCGCCTTGGTGTGACAGTCCTTCACAACAAAATGATCACGATGAAATTCAAAAAAAAACATCATTGTTAATTGAAAAGCGATTAACAGACAATAATGGTAAAGAAAGACGGGGGACATGTTATATATTATTTAATTTTAAAGTTCTAGACACAGAGTTTAGTGATGCATGGCAATATTGGTTATACCCAAACCTGACCCATTGCCCACGCGGAGGACATCACCGCCGGAATAAGAGTCGGAATGCGCCATCATCGTCTGATCGGGTGTAGCGTGTGACGACGCCCCGGTGTCCGGGTACCATGCGTCTGCCACCATTGCGCTGTCGTCGCCGGGAACCGCCGCGTGAACCTGCGGCTGTGGTGCGCCGGAATAGCGCTTGAAGCAATGAAGAGTCGTATATCCATGCGAGCGGAAAATTTGGCACCGCGGACCACCACCACCGCGGCCCCTGCCTTGTCCTCCACGTCCACGGCCGCCTCCCCGACCTCGCCACTGTCCAGAACCAGGGTGTCGGGGACCTCCGCTTGCCGCCTGATTCGGTGCGTAGCCGCGACCAGCCGCCATAGCCGTGTGTGAACTGCCGGCTGGTGCACCACCGGGAGAGGAGAATTCATCTGCCCAGATGAATTCTTGGGCCTGGAGATAATCCGAGATCTGCGGTATCGACACCGGTGCGCCGGACACCGCGAGAGAAGACGCCATCGACCGGAACTCTGGCCGGAGTCCACGGAAAACCCAGAGATTTTGATCATCAAGCGAAATCGGACGGCCGGCTAACGCAAGGTCCTCCACCAACAGCTGTGCTCTGCCGAGGTATTCCGCGGGGTTTGTCTCCTTGTCTGAGCGACTGGAACTGAACGAGGAGGTTGAAACACCTCGCCCGAGTCGAGGAACCGAGCGCCGCCGTGATGGATGTCCAGACCTCTTGCGACGTCGTGCGGCCAACGGCGAGGTAAAGATCCTGTTGCACCCACACGCCGTGCGCCGGATTCACCATGGTTGTCGACGTTGTGGCCTCGGAAGCAGCTTCGCCGGACGCTGGAGTTTCGAGAATCGCTGGAGGACATGGTGTGTTGCCGGTGACGAACCTAAGCAGGCCTTGTCCACGCAGAAAGGGCACTAATTGAGTGCGCTAGAAGAGGAATTTCTTTGTGGTAAGCTTCATGGATATGAAGTGGTGAGCCGAGGCTAGGGTGTCGGGGGTGGACGGGGGTGGTGGTGTAGCGGCGGTGACCGTTCTTTTGCTAGAGTTTGTCGACATGGTTTGGAAGGAGAGAGAGAGAGAGATCACCTAGCTAACTGATACCAGATGAGTGAATGATTATCGTGAATTCAAAATGCAACCAGTTACAGAGATACAAAAGAGATTAGAATCCTATCTAACTAACCCTATACAGTAGCTATTAGTTACATGACTAATTCAACTATAATAATACAAGCTATGTTACATATTAAATGAATAGGAAATATAACATTACTAACACTTTTGACCACCAAACACTAGTCTTCCCATATAATAAACTGTTGAGTTATCTACCCCTCCATTATCTTATTTGTTCGGGGTGTAGGGTCCCAGGAGACAGGAGTGAGAGGGGCAAGTAATTAATATTAGAATTGTTTTCAATTTTAGTCCATGATTATTACGTTATATTTTTAATTGATCCACAATAATTAGTTTTGTTTCATTTGATGCACAACTTTCAATTTTAATTTGTCACACAGTCATTTTTTGCCAAATCTCTAGCAAAAAAATACTTGGAAAATGAGTCATATTTTTAATCCATTAGTACCATATATTGACTTAAACATTTTGACACTTTTGTGTAGGGATGACAATTTCACTTGTTCCTTATGAAAAAAAAAAAAAAAAAAAAAAAAAAAAAAAAAAAAAAAAAAAAAGGGAGGGGAAGGGTCAGGGAGTATATAGTATACTCTATGATGATTTGTTTGGCATGTCTAGCTAGCTGAAAAGATAGTAGCTAATAAGTTAACTGATTGAAATTAAGATGTTTTGTAAAATTAGTTGGTGAATAAGATGATAAGTATAATATATATATATATATATATATATATATATATATATATATATATATATATATATATATATATATATATATATAAAAGGACATTTTTATAAATTTATATATTTGAACTTAAAAAGTGATATATATTATTTCAATTTAAAGTCTAGAAATATATATATTTCAAATTTATGATCTAGCATCTCATAGTAAAGTAGAGATATTGTTTTGAATATCCTTTATCTCACTAGTTGTCTCACTTAAATTTTCATTGTCGGTGATAGTACCACTAAAATCTTGAAGATCATCAGGGCAGTATGTAATCTGGATGTTGCTCGAGTATATTAAACATCATGTCATCTTGTGAGTTCTTTCGAATGTAATTATGCAATGCAAATGTGGCCATAATAACATCAATTTGGGTGTCTACACTAAATTGAGAGGAGAAGAATGTTTATAAAAAATACATGTAGGGTAAAGAACTAGGAAGAAAAGAGTGTTTAGGACGAGGAAAGTTTGAACTTCTCTATGAATTTAAAAGGTGGAAAGATATTCGATCGTTTGGTGCAATCTTTGACTTAGAAAACTTCAGGTCAATGGAATCACATTCAATTCTGTGATATCAAGGAAAGTAAATCACACATAATGACCAGGACTATGTGGTCTAATGGTATCTGGGTGGGACTTTCATTTGGAAGATTATGAGTTCGAGCCTCAGTGGAGGTGTTATATTGGTTATATGAACAGATACTACAATGTAGTAGAGCCAGTAACTTTCAAACAAAAATTACACATAACGGAGTGACATTCTTTTTCCTGGCCTTCTACTTAGAATATGCCAACTTTATTCAATTACATATTTATCATTTTAACTTTCAAACAAAAATCACACATAACTTTCAAACAAAAATCACACATAACGGAGTGACATTCTTTTTCCTAGCCTACTTAGAATATGCCAACTTTATTCAATTACATATTTATCATTTTTGATGTCATACTGCCATGTTAAAAATCTCTTATAAATATAAGAAATTTGATACTCCCACCACTACACATTCTTTAGAAAAATATCCAAGTACGTAATTAAAGTTTTCCCTACGTAATCTGATTTGTAATTAGTGCATATATTATATTTGTAATTAATGCATATAGCAATATATTATATTTGAATATGCATTAAGGGTATATTTGGTTCGCACATGGAATCAAAATTGGTATCAAATACTTGGTAATGGTAATGGGTTTTGGTGAAAGTATGTTGCATGTTTGGTAGTAGGGTGTAATGGAAATGATTAGGCTAAGGATGAATAATGGGATGAAACTCTTATAAAATAAGGGAATTGGTTTTTCCATTAATGGGGTATTCCAAACTCATAGTAGTGTTTTAAAAATCAGTCAACTAAACAATAACAATCACTTTCATACCCATACCTGAGTGCTAAACCTGCCAACCAAACACACCCTAAGTGTGTGTGTGTATATATATATATATATATATATATATATATATATATATATGCAGTACTACATGTGTGTGTTCTTGTGGTTTAGTGACATGAAATGATTCTTTCAAATGGGATGTAATGGGTTCAATCCTACTATATGGTAATTTACAGCTTGATTCATTATACATTGTATACTTTATATAACTATTGTTTAAACAAACCAATTCCAAATGTGTTAATTAATTTTTAAGGTAATTAATTGTTCCAAACATGCTAATTAACTTTTCCAGTAAAGTTATTTCAATCAAATATATTCTTTGAAAATATTTTCTCAAAAATTTAATTGATGAGAAAATACCAAATGTCCTCCAAATGTGACTAAAATAATACTTAAAGACTATATGTGAAAGTAACATATAATCAGAGAATTAAAAGTGAAAATGATTTCAATATCTCAAAATTTTCCACTTCCAATATTTTCCCTATAAGATGAATTTTTTGTTTGCTATATTTTTACATGACTGCAGGTATTGGACTCTCCATTGGTTTTCTGGCAATGATAGTTCTTGGCTTTTGGCTCCACAAAGAACTAAAGAGGAGGAAACAAGCAAAAGTAAAGAAAGAATTCTTCAGGAAGAATGGTGGGTTGTTGTTGGAGCAACAGATATCTTTCAACAAAGGGAGTGTAGCAGATACCCAAGTGTTTACCATTGACGAACTGGAAAAAGCAACTGATAATTTCAATGTCGGTCGAATTCTGGGTAAAGGAGGACTTGGTACCGTATACAAAGGAATGTTGTCGGATGGAAGCATAGTGGCCTTAAAGAAGCCAAACCAATTGGATGAGAATCAGATAGATCAGTTCATTAATGAAATCTTCATCCTCTCTCAAATCAACCACAGAAACATTGTTAAAGTCCTAGGTTGTTGCTTGGAGGTGCAAATTCCAATGGTTGTCTATGAATACGTACCTAATGGTAAGGCTAACATTATCCCTACAAACATCTCCCACTCTCAAAAATAGGTTCTACTTCCACATCATCTAATTTGCAAATCATCTACTATTCATACCACATCTCTACAAATCTAATCAAATTTACAAAAGTGGGCTCCACATGTTAAAATAATATTATTAATTATAAAAAGTAAAGAAAAAAATTTTAAAAAAAATACAAAGTACAAAAGCTGCCGCGGCAGTTTTGCAGGGGCTTTGCAAATTTGCAACAATAACAAATTTGCAAAGCCCTTAACTAAAAAAAAAAAAAAAAATGATGATATGACTATTCCACATCATCTTGCCAATCCTTTCTTGGCTGGGATGTGGATAGCCTAAGAGTTTTCAACATATACTCCCATTTTCTATTTTATAATATGTGATATGCTTTAATTGCTTAATGTACGGAGTCATAATTTTTATCAATTGTTTTTTTTTCCTCTTATAAAATTTGAACACTTAGTGAGAGTAAAAGTTGAGAGTAGGTTTTTGGAGTTTAAATATTATTTTTGCAATGGTAATGTCTTAAGAGGTGGTCTACCGCCAATTGTTATACCATGGATCAGGGTCCAACTTGCATTGTGAACTCTGATCCAAAAATTATGTGTCTCCAGTTGATATAGTTTATGTGTCCATAGTTAACAAGTTATATGCTTTTAATTTATTTACATGCACATAAACAGTTAACTACAGGAGGTACAGAATATGTCAACGGCAGACACATAATCTGAAAATTATTTTGAACTAGAGTCTACAATGTGGCAAATTATTGTGTGGACCATGATCCACACAGTGTTATGTGAACCATAACAAAAAGTACATTTTTAATATACTAGATGTACATTATTTTTTTACTGAATGTATATTATACAATATAATGTACATTCGATACAAAAATAATGTACATCCCCTGAATACAATGTACATTATTTTTGTAATGAATATACATTATTTTTGTCCTGAATGTATATTATTTTATAGTATACAAAATATGGTCCACACAATAATGATTGCTACAATGCAAGGTAGACCCTAGTTTATTATTTATTATATAAGTACATATTGACTACAAAACCCAAAATTCTCTCTGGCCCACACTCTGATCTGACAAAATAGTAAAAATATAAATTGAGGTGACTCAATAGTTCAGTAGATGGAAGGACCAGCTCAATAGGTAGGAAAACCAGCTCTTGGTGCTCCCACAATGCCACTACTAAAATTTAATATTGTATTACTCACAATCTACCCAAAAACTAACTGAATTGTTTGGACAGTCCACTATATAATACACTGACATATGATTTAGTTTTATTTGTAATCTCTATTTTTCTAATAACTAAAAACATTAACAGGTAACCTGTCGTACTACCTTCATGGTCGTGGCCATACTGATCAGAAGAGAAGCCTATCATGGATGGATCGCCACCGAATCGCCACAGAAGTTGCAGGCGCACTTGCATACCTACATTCGTGCGCTTCGATGGCGATCTTCCACAGAGACATTAAGTCGAGCAACATCTTACTGGACGAAAATTTCAGGGCGGTGGTGTCCGACTTCGGGCTATCGAAGTCGGTGCCCGTGGACAAGACCCACCTAACTACAACAGTAGGAGGAACATTCGGTTATCTCGACCCAGAATACTTTAGGTCGGGCCAACTCAACGACAAGAGCGACGTTTACGGCTTCGGGGTCGTCCTGGCCGAGCTCCTGACAGGCCGGAAGGTTATCCCGACGGATAAAAACGATGAATGTCTGGTGAGCCGGTTTGTGTCACTGACAAAACAGGACCGGGCGTTTGAAATCTTGGATAAGCAGATTGTGGAGGAAGGTGAAGAGGAAGAGATCATGGCGGTGGTTAAGATCGCGAGGAAATGTCTGAAATGGAGCTCGAGAAAACGGCCGGGCATGAAGGAAGTTGCGGCGGAGCTTGATCGGTTGAGGAAGACGATGGGAAAGGGTGGTGAAGTTACTCCGGTCCGGAGCATGGGAGATGATTACTGCTCATTTAACTATTCTTTTGAGACTTGTGCCGCCATGGATGATAGCACTCAAGAATCAATATACAGTGTAGATGCTGCTTCCAGCTTCTTGAAGTAAAAATATGTATGTATGTATATGTATCCTCTAATCTCTATATTTTCCACTTTTGATTCTGAAACCTTAACTGATTTCTTGTTGTTGTTGTTAATGTTATGATTTTAATTACTTGTATTGAACTACTTTTTGTATGTTAATAAAACTTACCATGTTGGTCCATTTGTATAATTGTATCAATTTAATTCTAATGGAATATAGACTATAGTATTAATAAAAATTTTATGTGTAGTACAATGACTAATTTATGTATGATTTACATATTAGTAAACATAGGGGAGTTGATTTGTTTTTGTTCCTAGGGTTCCACCCTTCCTTTGTTGTAAAAAAAAAAAAAAAAAAAAAAAAAAAAAAAGGGTGCGTTGATACTATATAAATATATAATACTAAGGGTGCAATCTGTTTGGAAACCATAAAATGTTCTTAGGGAAATAATTTTTAAAAACTTATTTATTTTTTGAAAAATATATATTTTAACTTTTTGTTTGTTTGGCACTTTGGCTGAAGGTCAAAAAATACTTTAGGTGAAGCCTACATTATGATAAATCTGTCTTGGTTGCCATAACTCAAATTTTAAAGTATATATTCAATATAAAGACACTGGTACCCATATATAAATTAAAACTTCATTACTTTAATATATCTCCCACTTACTTTATTTTGTATTCACAAGTTTCTTTCAAATAATGCAACGACACAATATTAACAGATTAGGATGTATCCATTATGTGTTTTGACTTAAAAACACAATTTATATTCTAAAAGTTCACAATTTCAATGCAAAAAATACACAATTTATACGTCGTTTATGACCAGTGTCCATCTTGCAAAGTAGACCCTCATCCGTGATATAACAACTCATGTATTTATCATCTTATTGCATTAATATATTTCTTGCTTGTGTTGGCTTTCAAAAAATAAAAAATAAAAAATAAATAAAAAATAAAAAAAACAAACAAACAAACAAAACAAATCCAATGCTTGTGGATGAAGCTAAAAAAGAGCTTTTAATTTAAGGGCACTTTGATCATACCACTTAAGTAGTATCTTTTAGGGCTCTAATCACCTATTTGAAATAGTAACAAATGTGCTATCAGACTACATAATAGACTAATAGTTGGCTGAAGCGGGCCTTATTAGTTAAAACTACGAAGAGGATCCACTATAATATTTACTGTATAGCCCATAAATAAGAAGTTTAAGATTATAGCGACGGTGCCGGCAACAATGGCTCCTTTCACCTTCATGCAAAAAACCGGCGCCACTTTGCACACCGGCCACCAACTCACGGAGGAATTTCCGGCCCGGAGAAGAACATATGTGTACATGGCTGCTCCCAAGCTTGCAGCATTCAGCGTGTTAAGAATCTTGTAAAAAAGCAATCAAATAATAATAATATTAATTATTTAATTGACCAATTATAATTATTATAAAACCAAAATTAACACATTAATATAGAGTTAAAATAAATTGGCAAATATAAGTAATTAGTACCATATCTAGGACAACAACTAGTAGCCACAATGGACTTCCGTCGCGGAGAAAAATAACTAATAAGCTATAAATGCCTTGGATGAATCCCATGATTTTAAAGAACCTATTAAAAAAAATGAATAAAGCAAACGGGATTAGTTGGGTGGATCCAGACTGTAAAACGGACGGAGAAAAATCTGTAAATTACACAAGAAAAAAATTATTTATCATAAATAATACGACTCAATGGGATTCGAACTGATCAAAAGATCTCGAAATCGATCAATTAATCAGTCAAGACACTATATATAAATGGACAATAAAATTGAAAAAAAAAATTAGAAGAAATAATGTAAATAAAAGTAAGTTTTTTTTTTTTTGAAAGTTAAATAAAAGTAAGTTGAAAGGCATTATATTATATTACTCGAAGCTGCCCCAGTATCTGCTTGATAATCTGATAGATGTGCCATTAACATTTATCTCATCACGGCAATATATCATTGTAATAGCTGCTGCAATGCTTATCGCACAAACCACGAGCCTCAATGCAATTGAGCATATTGTCTTCGCCATAACGATTATCTACGTCTATAAACATTTTTTTAAAACATTAAATAAAAAACAAATTAACTAAAAGATAATTTTAAACCAAAAATTGTCCAAATCTATGAAAATTGTGTTGGGTGTCGCTTAAAAAATGCAATTCAGCATCCTATTATAGAAACACTTAATAAATATTAAGATATACCTTTATGTACTATTAGATGTTTTGTCGGGTCAGAGTATGGAGCTCTTGAGATTGAGAATTAATCTTTTGAGAGAAGAAGGTAGGGAGAAGAAGATGGACGGAATTGAGGAGAAAGGTTAAGTCGGTAGTAGGGCTTGTATAGTAGTAAACTAGTAATATAATGAAAATAAGGAGAAGAGTTTAGGGTTATATTACATGGAAATATGGAAACTAAAAGATATATGGAATATAAAGTTCCAAATCTATAAGATGTCGATATTTGTCCATCTTTAAACCAAAGTATAGTTAATAATGCATTAAATACCTATACTTACCTATTAAACATTGCAATATATATATATATATATATATATATATATATATATATATATATATATATATATATATATATATATATATATTTGAAAACCAAAGAAATGCATTAATTCATAAAGTGCGAAATATAATCAGGCGGGATATACATCCAAGACCCAAAGGACAGAAGAAGAACTAGAAGCCCGAGCTAGTTCATGAGCAACTTGGTTAGCTGACCGATTGACATGACAAACAAAAATGTTCTCTATGTCATTAAAAAAGGTAAATTGCGAGTTGCAATGTCTATTCTCAGGTTCTCACCCCTTGCCTGTCCATGAGTTGTTAGATGAGGTACTATTATATTAATTGAAATCAATTCAAGTTAATATAATCATGTAAAAATTATATCAAGTAGTAAAATATGATTTGATTTTTTATAGTAGCCGCGTCTCATGGGATTAGACTAATAAGCCGAGCTTCGATTTGATCCTATTAATTTGGGAGAGTTTAACTTAACTCATTCTTAAACGAATCAAACCGTACCCCTCCCATGTTACCTAAATATAGCATTGTTCGGATAGGAAGAAGAAGCAAATTAAGTGAGAGAGAGAGAGATTGAATATGAATGTGTACTCAATATGTTGTTGTAATTTCAATACAATAATAAAATACAATTAAAATATTGATATTTATTTTAATTAAATTTTAAAAAGTTTCTAATATATTAAATATAATACATGCATATATTATATTGTAAGCATATATTTCCTTTGTCCCATTTTATATTTCATGATTTATTCTGGTGAGAATAATATATCAACATTATGCACACGTACTTGTACATATACATAAATGTTTTTTTTTTTTTGTTGCTAATTTGAATTACATATACAAAAGTAATCCAAGCCAACTAACATAAATATATGCTATTTTTAAATCAGGTGGACGGAAACACTCGAAAAATATAAACATATGCTAACTTGAATTACATATACAAACGTAACACACATGTCAGTGTCACTATGTCTGACGATAGAAAATTAGAAACCTAGGTACACTTAAAAACTAATTATTATAGAATAGTTGCAACTCTTTTATCCCATCAAACATTTTCTCCATCTTTGCTGCTACTTGGAGACCTTTTCTTCCAAAACCTTAATCGCAGGGCTCTACCCTCCAAGATCTTCTCAATTTCCTCGATGGGGAGCCCCTTGGTTTCTGGAACGCAAACCAGTACGAAGAACAAGGCGACAACAGATATCACACCGAATACGAGGAAGGTCCATGATGTTCCAATGGCGTGGGTTAGAGACAAGAAAGACTGGGCGACGATGAGATTGGAAACCCAGTTGGCCGTGGCAGCAATGCCTCCACACAATCCTCGGAACCTCAGAGGGTATATCTCCGAGTTCACAATCCATGGCACTGTGCCCATTCCCGGGGAGAAGAAGATGATGTAGAGCGCCAGACCGATTAGGGCTAGCCAACCGAAACTACTAGGGCACCCCCTGGTGTACCATAGTCTGTGTTCTCCATGACAAGCATCCTTAATTGTATCGTTTGAGATCAAACAGGCACCTGGAAGTAGCTGCAATAACAAAAACATAGTACTAAATTCATAGGCTTTCATTCTTTTCTAGAATTACATTAGAAACCCACAGTCACTACCACCTAGAGGTATAATTGTAAAAATCGCGCCAGGCGACGCCTGGCTGCATCGAGGATTGTCAAAATCGACCTTAATTTTCTGCGGCCGGCCGCCTAGGCGGTCTAGACGGCCGAACCCTTTCTTTTTTAAAGGTTATTCACCAAAACGATGTTGTTTTGGCGAATAACCTAAAAAATAAAATAAAAAATAAAATAAAATTGGGCGCCTAGCATTTTTTTCGACACTGCCTAGAGGTCAAAGGGTGTACTAAAGTAAATCTTGCTCGCCTTATGACATAAAGGACAATAAGGATATAAACCAGCCTAAATTGTTCTGATTGGCTCAAAAGAAGAAGGCCAATAGGCCTCCCGTTGAGAGTCAAACTTGTAACTTTATTGTTACCAAGTCAATAGTCTGACCGAGCCTGACCGACCAACGGGGTTATATTAACTCGCCTTGTATGTGACTACCCTAGACAGCAAAGGAGCATAAGAAGATAAACTAAATTTGACTGGGGTTGCATTAGGTAAACTCACCTTCTAACCCTAATCAGCAAAAGAGCAGAAAGAGGTAAACGAGCCTAATTAAGTTGTTTTAATCCGCTCAAACTAAGAAGACCAATAGACTAACAGTTTCTTTTAGGATAAGAACTTGTAATTTTGTGATTACCCGGTGGAAGAAACTGATTAACTTCACTTGGTGTCGCCATAGCTAGCATGCATTCTTGGGTGAAAAGCAAAGCATAGGAGTATGTACTCAGTTCATACCTTGTTCTGAGGAGAAGCACAGAAACCGCAGCTAGAAGAAGCTTTCAAACACCCAGTACAATCCAAAACCGGAGACGATCTGGCGCCGTCGTGATAGCCAGCAGGGCAGGCGAATCCTGAGAAATGTGCGGTCTCAGCCTGGCTAACCATGGGGGAATGCGAGGTAGCCTCGTGGAAAACCGCCGACAAAAACCCGAGAGAGAGAATCACGCCGCACAAACTGAAAACCAGGAGCTTCTTCCGCCCTGTCCGGTCTATGAAATATATGCTCACGACGGAGCCGGCGGCGTTGAGCCCGGCGGTGACTAGCGAAAGGAGGAGCGCCGTCCGGTTCGAGGCGATGCCGGCCAGCTGAACTATGGTGGGGCTGTAATACATCACGGTGTTTATGCCCACAAATTGCTGGAAAATCTGAAGCCCCACGCCGGCGATAAGACCCCGTCTTATGGCCGTGATTTTGCAGAGTTTAAGGACGCTGATTCTCTCGGATTCCTTGGATTCTTCTGCTTCTTTCTCAACTGATTCCTTCAGAGCTTGAATCTCCGGTTCTACTTCCTCCGGCGAGTATATTTTCCTCAGAATTGCCTCTGCTTCCTCTGCTCTCCCCTGTTTTCCGACAAGACAAGAGATTAAGCAGTAACCACGTTAAAATCACGACCAAAAACATTGAAAAACATCATTTCTACGACCTGTCGGTAAAGCCAGCGAGGAGACTCCGGGAGAAGCAGCATTAATATGAACTGAAGGAGCGCCGGCAAACCCGCCGCCCCGAGCATCCACCGCCACGTCCCCGGCGCCTGAATAACCAAAAATCAGACAAATGAATCTAAAGTTTTGATTATTACAAGATCAGACTCTTCGTGATTTAAGTCTTTATGTGAGTGAAATGAAGCATGTGCTACATCTCGGCGAGTTCCAAGCAACACGTGGACCGTAATTGTTTATTTAATCTGGATTTGATACTATCTTAACTAAAAGGCTAAGCTCATAGTTATATTGCACATTAATGATTATATGCTCAGAGTGACGGCGTACCTTAGTGAAGGCGAGGTTGATAAGGTAGGACAGGAATTGGCCGCCGGTGATGAGGAAACCATTGGTGCTGACAAGAGCTCCCCGGACCTTAGCAGGGGAGGCCTCGGAAATGTACAACGGAGAAGTCATGGACGCCATTCCGACGCCGAGACCCACGAAAACTCTCCCGGCGATGAGGAGGGCAGGGCTTGGAGCGGCCGCCATTATCACAGCTCCGACGAAGAAAAGGAAGTCCGCCACCAATAGGGCGGCCCTTCTTCCAAATCTGTCGTTTAACCACCCGCCAATTGCAGCGCCTATGATTGCTCCGGCCACTGCTGTGCTCACTATAGCCTCCTGTAGTATTTCCAAGATCACCAATTACAATATTTTTTTTTTTTTTTATGTAAACCATTAGTTTTTTCGGGTCTTTCTAAGTCCATCTTATGGTCCAGGTCAACATTATAATATCTTAGAATTCAAGATTAAACATGGCATAGAATCAAATCAATTTTTTTTTTTTTTAAATCAACCTATTAGTGAAAAAGTCTATACTACTAAATTGTATCAGTGTCTCTTGCTTCACAGTTACAACAAAAAATATATTCATAATTGTACCGGGCACAATGATAATAAATGTACTCATAATACCCGGTACAATCACAAAAAAAAAAAAAAAAAAAAAAAAAAAGATTGTACCAATGTAAAAGCAACGACACGACACCTTAATTGCCAACACTTTCGTGGCCGAACTGATCGCATATGATTTTTCTAGTGTAATTTATCTCTCATGTATAATTTGCGGGTTATAGACTCTTTTTTTTTGTAGACTATTATACATGAGTAATGTTTACTAAGTACACTACTTACGAGTTTTCCCAATTTAAAAATCTCTCAATTAGCTACTTTACCATGTTATATTATAAACTCTCTTTTTTTTTACTTTAATTTAAAAGCATGTGAGGGAAAAAACTAACCCAATTTTATACCAAATTGTACAAGACTAAACATAAATATTTAGTCAATTTGAAGTTAAAATTAAAGGTTAATTTAATCTTTAATTAATTTTTTGAGTACTACTAACTCTATTACAAGGTAGTATATGTTCTATACTCTCTCTAACTATTATTGCATCCCAAAGAGTCAATCTTTAATTAATTAGTATTAAATAATTTGCCAAAAAAAAAAAGTATTAAATAGGCAAGATAAGTAAATTTTGACTAAAAAGTAAAAACACATCAAACAATAAATTTTCCTAAGAGATACATAACAGTTCATGCTTTGTTTGACTAAGAATACATAAATGAGGATTTTGCCAAACAGCAACTTCTAAGCCTTTAAATCCTATTTAATATCTATTTCTGAATTTCTGAATATTTAAAGCAAATAGTTTTTTTTTTCCAATAAATATTTGACCTTAACTGTGATTTTTCTAACATGATACAAATACTATATTTTAACTGTACACCATTGGAAAATCATCTATTTCCGAACACCTTTTATGAATACTCAAAAAAATGGACCTAGGAAATTTTTTGAAAATTTTAATTTTTCCAACCATCATTGATGGTAGTTTTTTTTTTTTTTTTTTTTTTTTTTAAGTAGTTAATTAACACTCTCAGTCAAGCCAAAAACAAAAGTATGGCGGCTATATTTGGTACAGCTTATAACATATTTATTATAATAAGCTTTGTTTTGTAAAACATGAAGAATTTAAAATAATAGCTTATTTTGAAATATTACACTAAATAGCGTTTCAAAATAAGTTAGTAGATACTAGCCTTTAAGCTAACTATGTGAAATAGAGCCATGATCTTTCTGGTGCAATTTACCTATTTTATGTAGCTAGTTTGTGGTCTATTAAACAAAAACGTTATTTACTCAATATACATCTTCGACTAATGATTGCAGGTTTCCCTCCTCACCCTCCAAAACGAAGTGACCAATTTTTAATTTTATTTTTCTATTTGGCATGGTAGTTAGAAAGACTGAATCCTAAAGTTTCTTAGTAATGGTATTTTTTTTGAAAGTTTCTAGTAATGGTGATTATACTTCATAATATATTTTTTAAAAAGTGTAATAATGCTAATAAGGAATAAAGTGTTTGTTAATTATAAGGAAAAACGTAATAGTTTTAAAGAAAAAATGATTACTTTTATATCTTATTATACTTTCCCTTATAAGTAATGTTAGCAAGTGTTTGTTATAATGAAAAATGTAATATTTTTACATCTTGATTTTAAAATAACATTTTTCTTCAAAAGTATTACAATTTCTCATATAAGTGATAAACACTTTAATTTATTTTTGATTTGTATTACATTTAATCTTGACCTGACCCGTCTCACGAACAAGAATCCTTAGATCTCACACGAGGTTTTGTCATATTCTAAAAATAAAATCGAAAGTAATACAATTATAACGGCTTATGTAACTTATTTTGTCACTTTCCATTTTGAGAATACTATACTACCTGTTACATACATGTAAAACTTTTCCATTAATAATAATAATAATAATAATAATAATAATAATAATAATAATAATAATAATAAATATAAATATTAATAATATAATAAAGGGAATTGAAATTGGTGTGACCTGCAAAACTGTTTTCCTGTCAACAGCCTTGAAGTCATCTCTAATGTAAAGAAGAGCCCCCGATATCACTCCTGCAACCCAAAACGAATCAATATGCATGCATGTTTACAATAAATAAATAAATAAATAAATAAACATTAAAATTTAAGGTGGTTATCCATATTGATGTGGTTTTATACCAGATGGCAGATATAAGTTAAAAGTTCTAAAAAAAATATTTTAAGTTCGTACCGAGTAATATCTCTATAGTACTTTATACAAATTTAAAGTTTTATCATTCATTTTTAAAATAGTAACAGATATAGATTGACACCTTAAAATTTTTTTATATATGTGTGTGGGTGTTTTAATTTATAGGAGAGAGAGAGAGACCAGTATCATAGCCAAAGAGAAGACCACCGATTCCGGCAGAGAAAGCAAGGCGAAGAACATAAGGGTTCTTCCATGCCAAAGCTAAACACTCTCTGAAAGCTGTTGCATCTGTTCCTGCTGGGTCTACTCCCCCTTCCATTTTTTTTTTCTTTTTCTTTTTCACACCAAGAATTGAAGAATAAGAAGAAGAAGAAGAAGAGTGAAAAGATGGAAAATAAATTAAAGGAGGAAGCTATATGGCTATGCTAGTGGGATAATTGAGCTGATGAGGAGGAATGACACAACAAATTAAAACAACAGATATGAAGATTTATATATAGACCAAGTGGCCAAGTACTTTGTGTACAGATGACACCCGGGTTGGATTCCCATATGGAAGGTTGTGACTTCGAGCTTCAGTAGAGGCGTTGAGGATTATGGTCCAAAATGACGAACACTATAGTATCTAAATTGACATTGTCTCACGTATTATTTTTATTATATTATCAAACAAAATTGCAATTGAATTGAAATGAAACTGTAGTTGTGTTGAAATGAAACTGCACTGTATACAAAATGAAACTGAATAACAATTTCACATATTTGAGTGTATACAGCGAAACTGTAGTTATATCAAAATGATATTGTAGTTGTGTTGAAATAAAACTGCAATGCATATTTGATGCCTGGACCACAATGCATTGTGGACCGCGGTCCAGAGTATAATTTGCCTGGGTGGAAGGAGCGTGGCACATACATCTCACATCCCATCCCGCAATTGATCTTATCAATTCAGTTTTTACAGGTATAAGACTAAGATTGATACTTAATTTTTTCTTCCATTATGTTTTCATGGAATCATAAGCCTATATTTAAGTAGGATCAAATGAGAACAGTGTATAGTCCTCATGTAAAAAGTGATGACTAATCTCAATTGTCCAACAACATTCATCAATAGTTGAGAATTTTAGTAAAAAAAAAATACGATGACAATTTATATTTATTGAAAAATTTTAAGAGTGGGTTCATTTTATAATGAGTTAATTACAACAGAGGTCCCTTGTCTTTAGTGAAAATTTTAAATTTAATGTCAGACTATCATTTTTGCCATTTAACATTCCTAGACTATTATTTTTTGAACACTTTTAAATTTTAATCCTTCTCATCACTTTTTCTCAAGAGGAGATACAATAACTTACCACCTTACCATATGTAACAAAATATAACCTAACTAGCGCCACAGTACTCAAAATTTCTTTAACACCAATAGTTTTCGAAGTAACTATAATCACTAACATAAATCAATCATAAAACAAACCATTTTTTTTAGTATAGTCAAGATCAAACCCTTAACCTTTAGTTAAAAATAGATGAGTCGTTGCTTCCACTCAACCACACTCCCAAGTTGTCATAAAAACAAACCATATGCATATACATACGCAACAATTCTTATCCACAATTTATATTTTGATGCAACCACATTAGTATATTCTCTTACTTTTTTTTTTTCTTTAAAATAATTTGGCACTTTCTTTTAATTGATAAGGTGCCACCTTGGCTTGAAGCTCGACTTAGAAACGTTTGTTCAATCACTACTTGAAATTCGATTCCTTCAATTATATGCATGCAAGGGTTTTAGCGTAAGAATGTAGTCTCATCTCCACTAAATGATAGACCGGTTAGCATTATTGAAAACCCCAATTAAATTGATCCGAAAATATAATTGGTTTTGTAATACAATATTTCAATTTCGATTCTTAATAGGAGTGGTATATTGGGATCAGAGCAGCTTATTGGCATTTTTAATTTGAGCCGATCAACTATAGACAATCTAAGTTAGTTTATTTTTTTGTGATTCTTTACCGACTAGGGTCACAAGGCAAAGTTTATCAAATGCACACCCTAAGTTTGCTTTATCATCCAAAACAAAAAGGGGGGGGGGGGGGGGGGGGGGGGGGTTAGCATAACTTAACATTATTCTTATGGAAGCATTAGATCCATATCTTTTAATTATATCATTTACAATTTATGGTTGGTCCAATAGTGTTCCCAACTTTCCCTTAACTTTATTCTACATTAATTATACTATGATTACATTGATAATGCAAATTAAATTGAAAGGTCAATATCACAATATATTAGAGATAAAAGTGGTAACCCAACGAGTAATAGAAGTTGCAAATGAGCTATCTTTGTGGGAAAGAATTTCGAGATAAATCGGGTTTGTTCCCTCACGTGACGATTCTCCCTAAGTCAGCTCCTGTGCCTCTCAGAGCGATCGAGCAAGATTAGTCGGGTGGACCATTCAACTGAATTGTAGTATGGTAATATCTTATAAATAGACTAATATATTGGACTTGAGATGTTAGGCCTACTTGATCACCCTCCTCAAGCCCCCTACTATATGGTTAGGGTTGGTCGCATAAAGAATAATTTTAATTGGGAGTATCACTTATCATTCATATAAGTGATATTTTAGTTCTATTTATTTAAGAAAATTATTATTAAAAGTTTATAATTGAATTACATTCCAATCTTCTCAGAAAAAGTTAAGACACCATATTGATCCCACATTTGGCTAAAAAAAAGTTTAATCTGCTGTAGATTTTATTTTATTTTATCTTTAACGTATCATGTTATATAATTCCCACATTGGATTATTCAGCATCTTATAATAAGGTAATGACAAAAAGCTTTCAGATGTTTTATTCGAAATATTATAATATTAAAAATTTTAATTTAATTAATTAAGAATTCATCATTTTGATACTAGTAAACGAAATAAACGAAATCAAGATAATTTTTTAACTATTTTCTCAATCAAATTCGTCACACATATCTTTTTAATGTAATTTATTCCTAATATGATTTGCAATTTATTACATATGAGCAAGAGTTATTCACTAACAGGAAGTCATAAGGGATTTTTTTCGTCATGGCAACACACCATTCCTTACAGCATCAATAATGCACCCATATTTTGGAATCCCCACCAAGAGGATTCAACCATTCCTTTTTGCCGATGTAATTGTCAACTTTACTTGTCCTAGATTTCTTTAGTTTGTTGTAATTTCTTTCTATTGTATTATGTTGGGATCAAACATTTACCATTATGCCAAAAATTATAACTCACAGTGAATGCACAATTTTATTTTTTTATACTACCACATTTTTTAGAGGTAGAGTGTTGGATTTGGCCGTTCACTGGTCTCCGCCCAACAATCCCTTAGTCATTAATTGCTGGACTTGTCACTTTACCGGCCTCTGCCTAACATATTCCAAAAAGATGTTGAGAAATTTTACAATGTCTATCGTTACAATACTAAATGCTAAAAATAATAAAAAGATGTTACTCTAACAAAATAATAATAATAATAATAATAAGATGTGGTATAGTTTTTGTAATTTGATAACATTAATTAAACGAGCATGTTCAATTTTGTCAAATTACAAAATGTAGCTGTGTTTGGTATTGTTACGATTTGACATAAAAACGACTCAAACTAATGTTATACTCCGTAATATTATGAGTTGATTAGCGGTTCAACTTATCGTTTAAGTCGGTGATCGGAGTTACTTTGCGTACTGGGCATGCATGGAGTTGTTCATCATATCTTGTTCTATTTATACTTAGCTTCCGGCCTGGAAATGGTTAGCATTAGATTCTTGGTTGGACCGTGGCTATATTCTTCTATTTCGATCTATGTGTTCATTTGTAACTCTACTGATTATTATTATTATTATTATATTTTTTTTTTGTCTACATTTGTGGGTGTTGAACATATAATATATAAACATAAATCTGCAATCCAACTATTAATTTACGCTTTTAGTTGATTCAATTTGATATCAAAGTCAACTTCACGCCAGAGGTCACGGGTTCAAATATCTACATCACCCGATACAAAAAAAAAAAAAATTAAATTAAATTAAATTGAGATAAAACACATGCTTTAATTTTTGGAACTTGTTATTGTTTGACTACAAAATTTTTATCATGCTTCACTTCTGGGACTTGTTATTGTTTGACTACAAAATTTTTACCATGCCTTAGATGTGTTGCATTTTATTGTGAATTCGAGCCTCAGTAGAGGCGTTAATGGTTCTTTGTGTTTCAGTAGGTTGAGAAAGTATATGAACAGATACTACAATGTAATAGAGCCAGTAGCATTCAAAAAAATATTTAAGTCATAATATATGGATCAAGCGGGGTGGAGTATGGCATCAATCCAGGCCCGGCCTTGGGCAAGTGCAGGCTGGGCCCTTGCCCAGGGCCCACACTTGGAAGGGCCCCACCACCCTAGCTATCCAATTACCTTTTATATATATACTGTAAATCTTTCTTATAACGACTTATTATAAATTTCTATTAACGAATTGAAAGCTAGTTGAGCAATAGTTATGCTGTGCAACCGAATGCACCATGCGCATGGTGCATACGATGCAAAACGACATCGTTTTGACTAAAAACGCGCGTCTCACTTAAAAAAAAAATGCAGGTTCGATTCTACGCAATAGCATTATTGTGGATATATAGTTATGAATTTCTGGATATATAGTTATGAATTTCTGGATATATAGTTATGAATTTATGGATATTTAGTTCATTCATTGTGGATATTTAGTTCATTCATTGTAGATATTTACTTCATTCATTCACTGTGGATATATAGTTATGAATTTATGGATATATAGTTATGAATTTGTGGATATTTAGTTATGAATTTGTGGATATATAGTTATGAATTTATGGATATTTAGTTCATTCATTGTGGATATTTAGTTCAATCATTGTGGATTTTTACTTCATTCATTCACTATGGATATATAGTTGTGGATTTTTACTTCATTCATTCACTGTGGATATATAGTTATGAATTTGTGGATATATAGTTATGAATTTATGGATACATAGTTATGAATTTATGGATATATAAAAATGCTATTGCCGGGAATCGAACCTGATTTCTTCTTTAAGTGGAACGCGCGTTTTTTTAACTAAAACGACGTCGTTTTGGATCGAATGCAGCATGTGCATGGTGCATTCGATTGCATAGCATAATTTGCGCTAGTTGAGATGGTAGGGTTTGTGGTTTTTGTTTGTAAGGTCAATGGTTCGAAACCATTTGTGTCTAACTTTGCATTAAAATTTCTTTCCTTACTCTTTAGTAGATAAATTTTTGGATATTATTATATAGTATTAAAATTCAATTTGGGATATTATTATTATTATTATTATTATTATTATTATTATTATTATTATTATTATTATTATTATTATTATTATTATTATTATTATTATTATTA